TGAGACGACACCGTATGAATTATGGTTTGGGAAGAAACCTAAGCTGTCGTTTCTGAAAGTTTGGGGATGCGATGCTTATGTTAAGAAACTTCAACCTGAAAAGCTCGAACCCAAGTCGGAAAAATGCGTCTTCATAGGATACCCTAAACAAACTATTGGGTATACCTTCTACCTCAGATCCGAAGGCAAGATCTTTGTTGCCAAGAATGGATCCTTTCTAGAGAAAGAGTTTCTCTCGAAAGAAATAAGTGGGAGGAAAGTAGAACTTGATGAAGTATTGCCTCTTGAAGCAGAGAGTGGCGCAACTCAGGAAAATGTTCCTGAGGTGCCTGCACCGACTAGAGAGGAAGTTAATGATGATGATCATGAAACTTCAGATCAAGTTGCTATTGAACTTCGTAGGTCCACAAGGACACGTTCCGCACCAGAGTGGTACGGCAATCCTGTCTTGGAAATCATGTTGTTAGACAACGGTGAACCTTCGAACTATGAAGAAGCGATGGCGGGCCCGGATTCTAACAAATGGCTGGAAGCCATGAAATCCGAGATAGGATCCATGTGTGAAAACGAAGTATGGACTTTGACTGACTTGCCCGATGATCGGCGAGCCATAGAAAATAAATGGAAGAATAAGGTAGACGTGGATGGTAATGTAACCATCTACAAAGCTCGGCTTGTCGCTAAGGGTTATCGACAAGTTCAAGGGGTTGACTACGATGAGACTTTCTCACCCATAGCGAAGCTGAAGTCCGTCCGAATCATGTTAGCAATTGCCGCATTCTATGATTATGAGATATGGCAAATGGACGTCAAAACGGCATTCCTTAATGGTTTCCTTAAGGAAGAATTGTATATGATGCAGCCGGAAGGTTTTGTCGATCCTAAGAATGCTGACAAGGTGTGCAAGCTCCAACGCTCGATCTATGGGCTGGTGCAAGCATCTCGGAGTTGGAACATTAGTTTTGATGAAATGATCAAAGCATTTGGGTTTACGCAGACTTATGGAGAAGCCTGCATTTACAAGAAAGTGAGTGGGAGCTCTGTAGCATTTCTCATATTGTATGTGGATGACATACTGTTGATGAGAAATGATATAGAATTCTTGGAAATCATAAAGGCCTACTTGAACAAGTGTTTTTCAATGAAGGATCTTGGAGAAGCTGCTTACATATTAGGCATCAAGATCTATAGAGATAGATCGAGACGCCTCATTGGTCTTTCACAGAGTATGTACCTTGACAAGATATTGAAGAAGTTCAATATGGATCAGTCAAAGAAGGGGTTCTTCCCTATATTGCAAGGTACGAGATTGAGCACGGCTCAATGCCCAACCACAGCAGAAGATAGAGAAAAGATGAGTGTCGTCCCCTATGCCTCGGCCATAGGGTCTATCATGTATGCTATGCTGTGTACCAGACCTCATGTAAACCTTGCCGTAAGTTTGGTAGGAAGGTCCCAAAGTAATCCCGACATGGAACACTGGACAGCGGTCAAGAATATCCTGAAGTACCTGAAGAGGACTAAGGATATGTTTCTCGTTTATGGAGGTGACGAAGAGCTCGTCTTAAAGGGTTACGTCGATGCTAGCTTCGACACAGATCTAGATGACTCGAAGTCACAAACCGGATACGTGTATATTTTGAATGGTGGGGAATTAAGCTGGTGCAGTTGCAAGCAAAGCGTTGTGGCGGGATCTACATGTGAAGCGGAGTACATGGCAGCCTCAGAGGCAGCACAAGAAGTAATCTGGGTGAAGGTGTTCATTACCGACCAAGGAGTCATACCCAATGCATCGGGCCCGATGACTCTCTTCTCTGACAACACTGGAGCTATTGCCCTTGCCAAGGAGCCCAGGTTTCACAGGAAGATCAGGCATATCAAGCGTCGCTTCAACTCCATTCGTGAAAGTGTTCAAAATGGAGACATAGATATTTGTAAAGTGCATACGGACCTGAATGTGGCAGATCCGTTGACTAAACCTGTCCCTAGAGCAAAACATGATAACACCAGAACTGCATGGGTGTTCGATTCATCACAATGTAACTAGACTATTGACTCTAGTGCAAGTGGGAGACTGTTGGAAATATGCCCTGGAGGCAATAATAAAATGGTTATTATTATATTTCTTTGTTCATGATAATTGTCTATTGTTCATGCTATAATTGTGTTATCCGGAAATCGTAATACATGTGTGAATACATAGACCACAACACGTCCCTAGTGAGCCTCTAGTTGACTAGCTCGTTGATCAAAAGATAGTCATGGTTTCCTGACTATGGACATTGGATGTCATTGATAATGGGATCACATCATTAGGAGAATGATGTGATGGACAAGACCCAATCCTAAGCATAGCTCAAAGATCGTGTAGTTCGTTTGCTATAGCTTTTCCGAATGTCAAGTATCATTTCCTTAGACCATGAGATTGTGCAACTCCCGGATACCGTAGGAGTGCTTTGGGTGTGCCAAACGTCACAACATAACTGGGTGACTATAAAGGTACACTACGGGTATCTCCGAAAGTGTCTGTTGGGTTGGCACGAATCGAGACTGGGATTTGTCACTCCGTATGACGGAGAGGTATCTCTGGGCCCACTCGGTAATGCATCATCATAATGAGCTCAATGTGACCAAGTGGTTGATCACGGGATCATGCATTACGGTACAAGTAAAGTGACTTGCCGGTAACGAGATTGAACGAGGTATTGGCATACCGACGATCGAGTCTCGGGCAAGTAACGTACCGATTGACAAAGGGAATTGTATACGGGATTGATTGAATCCTCGACATCGTGGTTCATCCAATGAGATCATCGAGGAGCATGTGGGAGACAACATGGGTATCCAGATCCCGCTGTTGGTTATTGACCGAAGAGTCGTCTCGGTCATGTCTGCGTGTCTCCCGAACCCGTAGGGTCTACACACTTAAGGTTCGGTGACGCTAGGGTTGTTGAGATATTAGTATACGGTAACCCGAAAGTTGTTCGGAATCCCGGATGAGATCCCGGGCATCACGAGGAGTTCCGGAATGATCCGGAGGTGAAGATTTATATATACGAAGTCGAGTTTCGGCCATCGGGAAAGTTTCGGCGCTAATCAGTATTGTACCGGGACCATCGGAAGGGTCCCGGGGGTCCACCGGGTGGGGCCACCTATCCCGGAGGGCTCCATGGGCTGAAGTGGGAGGGGAATCAGCCCCTAGTGGGCTGGTGCGCCCTCCTTGGGCCTCCTCCTGCGCCTAGGGTTGGAAACCCTAGGGGTGGGGGCGCCCCACTTGGCTTGGGGGGCACTCCACCCCCCTTGGCCGCCGCCCCCCCTTGGAGATTGCATCTCCTAGGGCCGGCGCCCCCCTAGGGGTCCTATGTATAGTGGGGGGAGGGAGGGCAGCCGCACCCTAGCCCCTGGCGCCTCCCTCTCCCTCCCGTGACACTTCTCCCTCTCCCTGAGCTTGGCGAAGCCCTGCCGAGATCACCGTTGCTTCCACCACCACGCCGTCGTGCTGCTGGATCTCAATCAACCTCTCCTTCCCCCTTGCTGGATCAAGTTGGAGGAGACGTCTTCCCAACCGTACGTGTGTTGAACGCGGAGGTGCCGTCCGTTCGGCGCTAGGTCATCGGTGATTTGGATCACGACGAGTACGACTCCATCAATCCCGTTCTCTTGAACGCTTCCGCGCGCGATCTACAAGGGTATGTAGATGCACTCCCCTCTCCCTCGTTGCTAGATGACTCCATAGATTGATCTTGGTGACGCGTAGAATTTTTTTAAAATTCTGCTATGTTACCCAACAGTTTAGATGGTGAATCAAACAATCTCTCTCATTGTAAGTTGGCACACCATACTTCGCCTTATAGTGAGTTATAGCAGCACGTAGGATCTCGCCGCCGTTGCGTGATCTGAAGCTAGGTAAACTGTGTGCAATCCCATCACCGGAGCCCTCTCCCTTAACACCCACGATCACCATGTCGGTTGTGGAACCCCGGTTCCTTGTTGCAGACTTGATACCACGACAATTCGAATTGGTAGAACGGACTCCTGTTGTATCACTGAAGTGCCACAACAGAACCTGAAGAGAGGCCACGTGAGGGAAATGCTGAAGTTGATGTGGACATGCGCGGCCGTCTTGATGAACGAAAGCAGCAGCACCCTGCTTCACTCTTCGACCTGGACAATCAACTGCAATTTTTTGCTGGCCACAGTGATAAGGATCAACGTGACCCAAATGGTTTTTAGGCCCGATCTTTCATGGCGTACCCGGACAACTCCGATCGCCGAGCAGAATAGATTCTACTCCCCGATACACAAACACAAGTCCTTACGAATCAGCAAGCACGGAGGTTTTCGGACAGCTCCCTCTAAACTCGATATGGATATCTTACCCTCGAAAACACATCATGTTTCTTAACTCAAAACATAACCTAAGGATACAATGGCCGGCAGCCAACCCTTTATTTATATGGGTGACTCCAGAAACCCTAAACAACTCGGACCCACTTTTCCTGAACAGAAAAAATAAAAACAACACAACCGGAAATTAAAAAAGACACTTTGCGCGCCAATATTGTCACGCCTGCTGGTGGACCCCAGCCGAACTCCTTCAAACTCAGCATGCTCAACAAGCTCTTTCAAACATAGCCACGCCTCCTTTGATCTTCTCCTTGTGCGGCAGAAACAGGAACACTGAGTCACCTGCACGTTGGTACGCTCCTTCCGCGGCATTTGCAGAGAGCACTCCTCGAACTCGCGTCGGCCCAGCAAATTTGGTTTATTTGGCATCACGGTGCTGCCTCGATGTTCACCTTACTGTTGTCTTCGGTGTACAAATGTTTACACTATGTATTTGATCATTTCAGTATATATGAAAAAAAAGATTATACATGGATTAAAATCGACGTGAAGCAACGCACGGGCAGTGTTTGCTAGTATAAGCAAATTTGAACTTTAGCTTGGTTCCGACATCCAACCAACCAATACAGAGGCTCATCATGCATGCTAAACTGCTAGTACGGAAGGATTCCCAAGGACCTTCCATAGTTGACGACGTCGTCGTATATTTCGTCCAACGCCTTGTACCTGAACTCAAACCCTTCCCCGATGAGTTTCGCCGACGAAATGCAGACTCTCAACTTCTCGGGGCGACCACCAAACCTGATAACAAACATACACGCTATATATTCACAAATCACGATCGAGAGCATCGGAACTTGCCGTGTTTCCATACATGTTGGCACACACCTGTCGGTATTGACGTTATACTGTTGGTACTTGGCGGCCAGGAAGGTGGCTAGCTCCGCGAGGGTGGTGTCGAGGCTGCTGCAGATATATCTTCCTGACGCAGCCTCCTCCTCGGCTAAGAAGATCTTTGCGCGGCAGAGGTCGTGGACATGGACCATCGGGATCGAGCCAGACGCCCTGTCGACGAGTTCCAGGCTGCGAATCTTCTCGTCGTCACCTGAGATAATCATTCACCACACACGTCGTTCGATGAATTAGTAGTCTCTAATGGTCCCTTTTAATTATCGTTGCATCTTGACTTGGTATCAGGCTCACCAGTCAGCAAAGAAAGGATAACGGGGACGCTGGTGTGGACAATCGTCGCCGGCGCCTCGCCAACCGTGAAGGCGGGGCACACCGTAACAAGGCTGATGCCGCTGTCCTGCGCGAAAGTCCGCGCCGCCTTTTCCATAAGCACCTTTGAGACATTGTAGGCCTGTGATACGGCACGCAAGCACGTCATCACATTCACATTATTTGACAGATTTCTACCCGCCCTAATTAAAATTAAAAAGGAACAGAAGTACTAAAAAAATGTGCATGCCTACCCAGCCGCCGGCCTTGGTAACTCTGAGGTACTCAACGTCGCTCCAGGACTCCTCGTCCAGGACATGGCTGTCTCCTAGTGGCAGAGGCCGGCCGGCGACAGCCGCCACTGACGATGTCAGGATCACGCGCTTCACCGTCCCCGCCCTCATGCACGACCTCATTGCGTTAAGGGTTCCGCTGACGGCCAGCTCGATCACTTCTTTCTGCCTAGAGATATAACCAACTAAAAACAGTGCCTTTTCCATTATCAAATCTGACCCTAGTACAGAGTGTTTGGTCAGGCTCTACCTCAGGGTTCTCCGCGTTGAGGTTCATCGGAGCCGCGACGAGGAAGGCATAGTCGCAGCCAGCCACGGCCTCATCGAAGCTACCCTCGTCCTCCAGGTCGGTGCGGAAGACCTCTAAGGGACCGAGCGCTTGCAAGTCCTTGAGATGGGGGTGATTCTCCATGTCATCTGAGATCCAAAAAACAAATAACAGTGCCTGTCAGCTCAGGGTTCATCACATCACAAATTCACAATAGAGAGCGATCGAGGATCTAACCGGACTTTCTGATTGTCGTCTTGACGGTGTATCCCTTTTGCAGCAGCATCTTCACGAGGGCCGAGGCGATGTATCCGTCACCTCCGGTGACACACGCCGTCTTCCTCCTCATCGCATCACCTGCCACAGACGTCATCAGGCCGGCTGGAGGTGGAGAGTCGAGCACCGGAGTTCCTGTTCCTCTGCTGGTGGAGTAGTGCTTGTGGGCGCTCGTGGCTTTCACCTCTCAGGTAACGTGTGTCGTAGCTGGTAATCCATGAGCGGGGTTCGTTAGAGGGATGGTTTGGATCCCAGGAAAAAAAGAGAGGAATGGTTTGGATGCTTTCAAGAAACCACAAGCTAGTTGCATTTATTTCTCCACAGATTGCCACCATATACAAAGGTTAGATGCTTTCCAACTTACCCCGCAGAAAAAAGAGATGCTTTCCAACTTGTAGTTGTCTTTCAGATTGATTAGACCGAGCCAACTGCTCCATTGTGCTCCAGTGATATTGAAGTCTTCCATTTTTTTTTGCGGGAATATATTGAAGTCTTCCATTGACCTGCTAGTATCCAAAAGAGACGACTGCAGGTTAGTACTATTAAGTTGGCCATGTAGAAGTGCACTGGCAGGTTAGTTTAGAGTGAATTGCAAAAAACCACCACATTGACGCATAGGTTTGCAGAAAACACCCCTTTACGAATTTGGGCCAGAAACCATTGATTTTCAGCCTAATGTTTTGCAAAAAAATGCTGATCGGTCTATTTGCACATTTTAACCGCAATTATGACATGTGGGGCCCACATTGGTGCATAACGTTCACTATAGACAATGTTAGACTGGTTTTTTTTTTCAAAAGGAACCCTCCCTCCAAAAAAAGGGAATCTTCCTTCCATGCTCGATCCAGTCGAGATCAGGCCCCGCCGCCGTTCCCACAGGTCACCGCCGCCGCGACCTGGGCCAAGTTGTTCGCCGCCTCCTTGCTACAGAGCGGCGGCTCTAGCCTCGCGCCCGCCACGGCCACAACCTAGTCTAGGTCGAGGTCGGCGGCCACGGCCGAGGCGCACGGGTCGGCTGGCGCCCTGCTCCTGGAAGCATGTGGTGGTGGGCTAGCGGCGGCTTTGACCTCCGAATCACCACACAGAACGGTCGTTGCCTCCTCCTTCAGGCATGGCGGCAGTGCAACAGCCGGCGCACGGAGTGGCTGCAACCTCCCGGCAATGAAGGCGGCATCGGAGCAAGCAGTGGCGGCGGGGCGCAACACAGGCGCACGCAGCAGCGGCCGCGCCCAGCATGTTCGCGAGCAGTAGCGTGCATCACCGGAGCAAGAAGACTAGTGGAGGCTGACATCACCGAAGCAAGAAGACTAGTGGCGGCGCGCATCACCGGAGCAAGCAGCGGCACGCCGGTGAGCAAAACGGGCGCAAGCAGCAACGGCGGCGAGCAAGCAGCAGCAGCAATGCACAGCAAGGGCGCAGCCAGGCAGGAACCCTCACCGGTAAGCTCCGCCATAGCCGGGGCACCGGTGTGGGTGATAGTGCACGAGCGCGGGATGGCCGCCGGCGGAGTACGGTTGAGTTGGGTATGGCAAGGGCCTAATTGCATATTTGTTTTCAAATTGAAGGTTGCCTCTGCAAATATACTCGGTACTAATTGTCATGCCACATCATCAAATGTGGGCCCCACATGTCATAATCACAGTTAAGATGTCGAAGTAGACCGATCAGTGTTTTTTGCAAAAGATTAGACCGAAAATCAGTGGTTTCTGGCACAAATTCGTAAAAGAGTGTTTTCTACAAACCTATGCACTAATCCAAGAAAGTAGTTGTAATCTTGTTCTCGGTTTTCACAGAGCGACTAAACTAGCTATGTGTGTGCATGTCGATAGTCTAGTCTTCTCTTTATGTTGTACTAGGAAACATGCCCCGTGCGTTGCAATGGGATAAGAAATTCCCTACCGAGGCGCACAAAGTAAGTTTTCATTGGCATGGCACGAACACCTGGTTAGATGATGATGGGCTTGATCTAGGTCGCACAGCTATTGTTGTAGCATCAGATTGCCAAGGAGTGGTTAATGATATTCAGAGAGGTACGAGCGGTATGTATGCTAGCATTGTCAAGGAAACCAGACCGCAAGTCAGTTTACTAGATGTTCCTTCATCTTCATTGGAAGAGAGTCTAATCTGTATCCCCACAAACTTGTTTTTTGATTAATAAAATGAAGTGTGTTTAGACTAAAGAAAAAAACGAATGCACGATTGGGGTTTCAATTTTGTCATACTGGAGACGAGTTCCATATTACAAGTTCCAGTTTCAGTTCATCGAATTAGAATTGTACGTTTCACCTATCAACTTGAGTTTACAGGAGAAAAGGCAGTAGCAACCCCAATCTCAGGGTAAGAAATCAAGGCCGGTTCTTGTTGTCTCGGCGTTCCAATTTAATCTGTGCTACTTTTTTTTGAGGCAAGCCAAAAGCTAATGGCTTTAGACAGGGTTACATTCAGATAGAGACAGATCAACTAATTGACTTGGGACACTGGCGATGACTCTGCATCCGCCATTCTTCCTTGCCCAAGCAGCCAGCATATGTGCTAGCTGATTGCCCTCTCGTTTGGTCGCCGACCAGGAGACGGATTCAAAGAGGCCCATCTGATCTCTGATGTCTTGGACAATATGGTGAAGTTGTGATTTGTCCACTCCTTCCGCTTTCAGTCGATTCACTATGGTTAGGCAGTCAAATTCAATGATTAGTTTGCCTTGGTACAAGCTTGACAGCTCGCTCATCCCCAATTTAATTGCCTCCGCTTCTGCTTCTTCAGGGCCTGCACTTGCCTTGATCTTCCTGCAAACTGACAAGACCACATCTCCCCTGTGATCTCTGACTACCGTTCCAAGACAGGTATCCTCTGATTTGCCGATGAACGACGCATCTGTATTTAGTTTCCAAATTCCGACAGGAGGGGGGTTCCATTTGCAGATCGTCTTTGGAGTATGGGTGGGAGTGTTCAATTTTCCAGGGAACAGACTACCTTTCCCTCGGTCATCTGTCAGTCCGCACATTGACTGGTGGATCTCTTCCTTGTACCTCTCCAAGAAGTCAACCGATTGTGATATGCAGAATGGCGCCGGCTATATCGCACCTACTCTTTGCAGACGACACACTCTTATTTTTTCAAGCAACAGAGGAGCAGGCTATGATGGTGAGGGACATTTTGGACCGGTACTCTTCGGCAACAGGGCAGTTGATAAACCCTTCGAAGTGCAGCATGTTGTTTGCGGATGTATGCCCACATGGAAAACGGCAAAGGATCAAACGCATACTTGATGTGCTGAGTGAACATTTTGAGGACCGTTATTTGGGCCTGCCGGTACCTGAAGGCCGAATGAATAGGGGAAAATTTCAATCCCTTCAGGCAAGCTTGAGCAGGAGTTTTTTTGATTTGGGTGAGAAGCAGGCTTCAAGTGGGGCAAAGGAGACACTAATTGCACAGGCAATACCGACATACATGATGAGTGTTTTCAGACTGCCGGCTTTGACTTGTGATGAACTAACTCAAATGATAAGGAGCTATTTGTGGGGATCAGAGAAAGGAAACGTAGGACGCACTGGATTGCATGGGAAAAATTATTACGCCCAAAGAATCAAGGCGGCCTAGGGTTCCGCGACATGAGACTTTTTACCAAGCTCTATTAGCTCGTCAAGCATGGCGACTAATTGATAGACCGGAGAGTCTATGTGCAAGGCTATTGAAAGCAAGGTACTACCGATATGGCAACCTCATTGACACTGTATTCACGGGAAATGCGTCTCCAGTCTGGAGAGGCATTGAACACGGATTGGAGCTGTTAAAAAAAGGAATAATATGGAGGGTGGGCAATGGTAAGAAAGTCAGGGTATGGAGGGATCCTTGGATACACCGTGGGGGCACTCGAAAGCTATTGGGAGAGCGGGGAACCTGCAGGTACAATCGTGTTGACGATTTCCTCTTACCAGATGGGTCGTGGAATGAGGCTCGCCTTAATGAATTTATGATACGAGCAGATGTGCAGGAGATTTTGAAAATTAAGGTATCTCGTAGAATGTGTGAGGATGTTCTCGCGTGGCATATGGAGAAGGAC